CTTGTTATGTAACTTTAGCCTTACCTTCCACCTGTATTTTGGATGCCGCTCATGCAGGTTGTCAGTGACCACTCAGCCACTGGATGTCGTCTACAACCCTCTAGTGTTGGATCACATCTCCGAGTTTTTCTCCCACACATCAATGGAAGGAACTCAAGCTCTTCATATTGAACGGCAGCTCCGTGAAGTGGCACGGGTTAGATACGAGGAACTAAAAAACCAGACTAGAGCTGAACTTGTCGAAACACTTGATGCTATGATGGCAGGGTCAGAAGTGGTGAGTTGTGGGTCTATTTAGGAGTTGCTTGGTAAAATCGTGTAGATGCACAGAGCCTCCTCCTTAGCAGTCAACAGACGAAATTTCGGCCGAAACGTGAGGCGAATTACCGTACGATAGTATCTAGCTCAAACGCTGGTTAAGCTACAAAATTACAATTCAACAGCTTCTTTTAAAGAGAGAGCGGTAATAACCTATTACAGCTTGCTTATTTTTGATGATCGTTATTGTTCTTGTGTAACTGCACCGTACAAACGACTTCAGACAAAGCTCACAACGATAGAATGACTGACTGGACAACCGACAACTTGACTAACCCTAACCATTATACTGTGACATACGACGGATCAAAACGCACGTCCAATCTTCATAGCCAATAACATTACCGCTTAACCGACAGACGACCTATAATATCGCGACATAATTGACCAATTAGGTCAATAACCAGAGTTTAATACCGTCAACTAACGTGATACAATCCACTTTGACCCTGAAGGTGACTATCAAACAGGTTGTCAGGTTGTCTAAACGTCAGTCAGTGTCAATAACAGTCCTAATAACAAACCACGCTCACCCGGACGATCATATCCTAATTTGGGTATGACGTATGCTTTACATTAACTGAGTGACTTCTCGCGGTCTGATTGGTCAAGAGGTTTGATGTATCAAAGTAAAAACCGTAGAAAATTGTTGTGTATTTGTTACCTAGAAAGGATCTTATCGTATGAAATATAGTTGGAGCTGTGGATGAATTTCCCTTATGTCATAGGGTCAATCAAAGAGATGGGACATTCAGTTGGATATTTCTGCCCCAAGATTTCTAGTTCCAGAAAGTTTTCAAGACAGGAAGTCGTCAGTGGTATGTTAACATCGCCTCCTAATGTAATCGCTTGATAAGTTCGCTGTTGATACCGAATGTACACTAAGAGCTAGGTGGATGACTCGAGGTTAATGCTGTGGTCTTCACACAGACACAGGTGGTGAATGGTCTTGGTACTTTCCCATTAAACTATTTATTACGGTGTATAAACAGGTTCTAACATTATTTTGCTGGAGACTGTAGATTAAATCCTATGGTATTAATATTCAAATGAAACCTCTTCAGCAGTACTTTCACAAGATACTCTTTCCTTTTCATACAGATTGGAAATTTGGATTTGTGCACTTCTAAGGGAAAGTGCCTACTAGAGAAAATATAGAGAATACTACATGTAAAGTGCTGGCCTACGGTAGTTACACACGAGTTGTTTTTGCATCAGAAATCGAACGATTGAGCGCAGCGAACGAGTGAGATTTCTGATACAAAAACAACGAGTGGGTAAATACCGTACGCCAGCACTTTACATGTGGTATGGTGTTTATTGTATACATACTGAGACATTCATTCAGTTCTGAATGTACAATTGAAAATGAGTGAATTTAAGTAAAATGGCCGGTTTCAATATAACCTTAAGCGTATAAATGGAAGACAAAGTAGCTCCGACAAAAAGCACAACATAAGCTTACGTCTTGTTCTGTTTTTCCCCTTCCGCTGTTGTTTCGCTGGCTCTCCACAGTTTTCTTCATCGATGGTGAAACAAACGAAACTATTCCGCTCGATTTCTGAAATGTTTTTCACTTTTTTAACGAGAAAAAACTCTTTGAGAAAAACTTTTCTCCTCGAATGTCACGCTTCGCCGCGAGTCGTTCGACGTTCTTTTCCGCCCTTAAAACCGCGCTTTGAGTGTGTGGAGACACCGAAGACTAACCTGCATAGTAATTTCTCACATGTGAAAAAGCATCGTTCGCGATTCTGATTGGACGTATCATTTTTTCACGTGTGAAAACCATAGTTCACTCCTCTGATTGGCTAGAACTCATTTGCGTATCAAAATTTACAACACAACTTTTTAGTGAGTATTTCTCAGTATGTATATGATAAAAAGGATTCTTCTACATGCCGTCTAATATTCTAATAGTTCTTGTATTGTAAGCTTGTCGCTCCTACCGTTACCTGAGTAAAATTTGAGACCATATATTGACCATTTCTCAAGTCAACCCCCTTCTCCGAGCACTGTCTAACTGACCATTCTAGGGCCATTTATACGAGGAAAAATAAAACGCGTCTTACATAAGACGCGTCTTAAATAAGATGCGAACTTTCCGTATAAACGGCACATTTCGTCTACAACAAGACGCGGCTTAGCTAAGACGCGTCTTATTAGATAAGACATGCTCGTATAAATGGTACAGTTCGCGTCTTATTTAAGACGCGTCTTATTTTTCCTCGTGTAAATGGCCCTTCTGTCTGTTTCTGTTCATTGTTAATATTTTGTGATAGGTTGTTATTGACTTTGGTCACTTGAGCTTTGCAAACACTCAAGCACTTAATCGAAAGAAGACAGTGTCTGGAGGACAGGACTCTAGAGCAGACATGGAAGGTAACAAATTTGTTTGAGTCCGTTTGGCAACGGGTAGTTATTGATTACATACGTTCCTGGGAAACTGCCAACGTACCTCTCCCCTAAGCCAACATCAACACTTCTCACTTAAAGCAAAAAAGGGAGGGGTAGGTGGGCAGTTTCCTAGAAACTCATAATGATCCTTGCCATTTACTCGGGTTATAACCTGTGTGACCGCACTTGACTTGAAATCGGATTGAAAATTGTCTAATTAAATACAGAATTACAGTGACTTCCTAGGTTTGATTTAGTGCCGCGTGATGAGTTGTTATTTAATAGGATTGCAAGAAAATCATTGTAGATATTGCGAGAGATGCTTAAAAGCGATCATTGTGAATGAAACGGGGGGTCATACTCGAAGGTATTTTTGGGATATGGAAGCAAGGCCTCTGATGTGTCGAATTTCAACTTAAATCGGTGCATGTTTTTCTCTTCTGAAGGCGATTGATTGCAGTTCAGTGTTATATTGATTGACTTCATATGTACTTTGCTGCAGATGACTCTTTTGTAACCCCACCTAGCACTCCGCCTGAAGAAGATGAAGAGTTCATGTCGATCACAGAGTCAACAGATGCTTTAGTGAAGGAAATGAGCAGAGAGACACTGATTGATATAATGTATGAGAGGTAGGCTGATGATGATTAACTCGCTTTTAAAGAAGGACGAAGATAAAACATGAGACTGAAATAATAGATAAGATTCCACATTCCATGTATGTTCAGATTAAAATGAGAAGAGAGGTTCGTTTTTTGCACTTAGCTGTCGCTGTAAGTCCTTTTTTGTTTTCTTTCTTTACAATCAATTTATTTGTGAATGTGTGGCGAAACTAATGCAAGAACAGTTTATTTGAACCTACCTTCTGTACAATAACAGAAAAGCCCTAGTGCTTAACTGATTTGATTTGTAGTTATTTAGTTTCGGCTTCTTCCTATTTTTCAGGAACTTAGTACGTTTCTCGAGTCCCACACTTGTCCAGATTTTTTCGTCTGATGTCTTGTAAAAAAACATTGAAAAACAAATTCAGCGATATCAACTGTCCGTCAGTTCTCTGTCAGATCATGGATAAACGCCGATGAAACCACTTGTTGGCTTCAACATGTTCAGTTATCAAGAGCGAATATCAACAATGTGCGTTTTGACTTCTTCACAGGTATACTTTAGATCTGTCTGACATCCAAATGGTTGTCTGTAACGTAAAAGATAACTGGTCAGAAGTAGCGAGCAAGCCGTTCATGACAAGTGATGTTCATGTAGTGGATAAATTTACAATAACCATCCAATTAGAAAGGTAAGAAAATCGCAAACACCCCGATTGAACTGAAATGACGGTCTTGTTTATGCTTGACGTTCATAATAGATAATTTGCAAAGTGGCGTCATGTTAGAACACAAGCGTTCAGAATCTTAGAGTACTCTCACGGTCTTCCTAGGCCAATTTTGGTATTTTCTTTCCCTACCAGCAGTAGCTTAATAAGGGTCAATAAAAAGTGGGCTGCAGCGCTAATGATATGCGCAATAATTGTAATGAAAATTGAAAGGCCAGTTCAAGAAAGAGGTAATAATATTCTTACAAAAAATCCACCGTTTTCGACTGCAGTTATGGGTGATATTGTATAGAAAGATGAAGTACAATTTTGCTAAGCATGATGTCAGGCTCCCTTTCATTTTCTAAAATTTTATAAGGCATGAACTGCGGAAAACGTTTCGCGGGTAAAGAGAGCAATTCGAGCAAAATGTAGCTATCCGAAACGCATTTGTAGCAGAATTAGCGGTATTTGCGACATTGACTACAGACAGGATAAGCCATTTTACCATGAGAATTATCCAAGCCTTCAATTATGTGGAAGTGGACTAAACTAAAGCGCATTTGTGTCATATTCCACAGGAGACTACTGTTCACAGCTGATCCCCAGTATCCTGCAGTAACTCTGTTTGCAAAGCTTCCCAATCTGATACTTCACATCAATGAACACAAGGTATGACGTTCTTTCGGACTGTTGTCGACTTATTTGTATAAATTCGTGCACTGCTTAATTAGACGTCTTAATCGCCACCACCATTACCATGAATTTGTCTCCCTCCACCATCGTCAAAGTCACCAGTGACCTAGCCTGCGAGCAAGCTCTCCTACTTGGGCGAGCCTCGCGAGAACGCGCGAGCGCGGGGCCGAGGAAAGGAGAGCTTCTCCGCTCGCTCGCGCGTTCTCGCGAGACTCGCTTCGCTCGCCCAAATAGGAGAACTTGCTCGCAGGCTACCAGTGACCTTAGCGTTTATTCTAGTTGTCTACGTCATCGTCATCATCGTCATCATCATCATCATCATCATCATCATCGTCAGCGTCACTAGCATTATCAGTGTCACTTTCAACATCACCGAGACATCACAATCGTCATCATCTTCATCACAATCATCAACAGCATTACCATCAACACCATTATCACCATGACCATCATCGCCATCTTCACCATAAACAAAACCATCAACATCATCAAAGCCGTCACCTTTGCTACTGCCATCACCATTAACATTGCCCTCGCCACCGCTCGTGCCGTTAGCTGTTATCAATTTTTCATTGCAATTTAGATGCCTACTACACTGGGTACCAGAGGTTTTTTCTTGCGTGCGACGAGGAGCTTCGACACGTCTACGGCCGAAGACACGAGCGGCGAAGCTGCGAGAAAAAACCTCTGGCACAGAGCGCCTTGATTTACCTTGCTAGATGGACCTTGACCTTGTCTCTTATCTGTCAATCAAACCGGCTGTCGCAGAGCCCAATATTTTTCGCGCGGGTCATTTTTTAGGACTTAACCGAAACTGGAAACCGCGCATGAAAAGCTTCTGGCACGGGTAGATGCATACGTGCTATTGGTCAGTTCCAATGGACCATTTTGATTTAGTCCAGGATGAACAGGTTTTTAGCGAAATTTAATGTTACCACTGTTCCTTTGTTAGCTTCAAGCTTTGACAAATTGCGTCAAACAGCTGAGTAGACCGAAGCCTTCCAACCCAGCACCATCAGTGGCAAGAGAAAGGATTGTTGCTAGCTCAACCCCTCTACCCCGTGTGGAAAGTAAGGAATTTTTTTTAGTCTATTAAAACATATCGTTGAGTGGAGGATACTTATTATGAAAGTCGGCAAATATCAGATAAAAAGAAAAGTGCTGCAGATCATGTTTGGAGTTCCCTGACGGTGCACAATCCTTTGACGGAATAAATTAATGCGGCGATTTTATTGGTCAGAAAGATTAACATGAAAGGAATTCTATTGAACGTTGTGCACCGTCAGCTCCACAAATACATATGACAGAGGCGTGTTGCTTTGATTAATGTCAAGTGTGCTCGCGAGATGCGAAGTCCTCTGACTAGCCACTAATTTGTACAGCGCGAGTAAAAACAAAGGCATTCAGATTCGTTGCCTGGGACAGAAGTGTTCCTTGATGAAAAGCATCTGTCCCACACAACGAGACATCGAAATTGCGGTTGCTATTCATTACGTCTGGGACGTAATGGACGCTCCCTGATAACAATCGTGGTTCGTTTGATGTAATGCTTTTCATTTGTTGGGTCATGTTTCAAGGAGTGGACAGCAGCATTGATGACTTGTATTACAGCTTATACAGTAGCAGTGTTACCATTCCTGACATGCTAAAGGAATCACCCACCAGGTAATAAGTTGTCATTGTGAAGTATTTCGTTCCTTTGTTTGGAAGCCATTTTGAGGTGGCGCGTTAAGACTGGGTAGGTGTTGTACCGAATTGCACTATGGGACTCTTCGGGACGTTATCGCTTCTTTTATTCGCTACTTAAAAAACGAGAAGGAAACTGTAGCCGAAATTCGTCCTGCAGTTGTTCTTGGGATCGTTACTGGGGACGCGCCGGTCAGCTATTGGCCAATTTTTCCATTACCCTCAAGTCCTTGCGAAAGTTAACTCGGCCCAGTTTCCTTCTCGTTAACATTCGCGCAGACTTTTGGGACATGGAAAAAAGATCAACAGCTGGCGAATTGACGTAACCAAACCTGCCTTTAAAAATAAAGAGAAAAATATTTTTGGCTTTCAAAAATTGCTGAGGAAGTTAAAAAATGCTGAAAAAGGTATTATCTAGAGAAAGAAAATAGAGAGAAAAATATTTGCGGCCTTCAAGAAATACTGAGAAAATGTAAATGTAAGGCCAATGAAATCCTTCTGAGACGAAGCAACAACCGTCCTTATGTTCCTTTGAAGACAGAAAAAAATATATCCTTAATCTTCGTGATTGCTTGAAATTGCTTTTGTAATCTTAGAATTAGAAAGAAGAAGATTGAATTGTCTGCCGCTGTCTATGTAATTAAAAAAAAAAGGTTTTGCCGAATTTTACTTGCAAATCGTCTGACTTTTTGTTACTCTGTAAATTATAAGGTGATGGATCGTTGTTTTCCTTCCTTTTAGAAGTATCAGCAAGTCCGCTGTGGACATCACATTAGAGGATAAAACAAAAGAACTCATGGAAGAGTCTAGAATGCTACTTGTGCAGTTCGCTATCGACAGAGTGTCTCTTGGTGTTCACAGCATGGGTGAGATGTTGCTGTTGTACCGCAATCACAGTCGTTGAGAAGCTGAATTGTGTCCCTTTCATACCAAATATGCAAATTTAATGAAAGCAGGGGTCAATTTAATAAAACTTTTAAAAGTGTAGCTATTGTTCTCAGACTCTAAAGCAATGGCTACACTTGTAAGCGTCACTTGTAAAAGTTGAAAAATTAAATTGGCCCCGGGTTGAAAAAAAAAAAACCTGGAACACAGGCTTTGACTCAGATTCAAGTAAACTTCAACGTTTTTGTAATTCGCACTTAAGTTGCAATCATCTTAAGTCAGAAAGCAGATGTTATGAGGTAACGAATTTAAGCAAGGTTTAACTACACAAGTTTTTAACTTGTTTGAGCTTTGGTTAAGTTAATGTAGCACTAGACAGCTTGACTTGTTTGTGGCTCGTCTATAGGTAAGCATAAATAAGCAAAGTTTCTACTTTGTACTGAATATTTTAATTGAAATCAATTTCTGGCATCTTCCTCTGTTTGCTAAACAGGCTGCCTGATAGCTGAACTGCAGATTTTAGGAGTAAAAGCAAATTACATGAAGAGACCATATGATTCCACAATATCCTTTGCTGTCCATGGAGTCCATCTTGTCGATGCGATTCAGAATTTTGGGCCTGAGTATGAACTGCTGTTTTCTTCTTGTAAACCGCAACCTGTTCCATCTTCAAGTAATGCTAGCCTCTCTCAGTCGACAAGTAAGTTATCCGTTGCCTTTGTATGTTTGTGGCTCAGAAGTGAGCCTTCGTAAAGCTTTTTGCTTATTTCCAGCGTTTACTCAGTAGAAAGAGTTTCCTTTCAGTTGTTCCAGAAACAACAAAAAAATCTTACAAGCTAAGGCCATGTTGAATTTTTTACCGGAACGTTCAGGTTATTTAGAAGTTTATCTTTACCCTCAAGGTCGTATTACGAAGGGACGATTGTAAGTTATTTTTCTTGAAGAAATACCCTCGAACATGTTTCGGACAGATGACTTCCAGATGTTATGTCCGCTGATACTTTTATATTTGCAGATTATCATACCCGCAAAAGATCGTTTCTAATCAGTTTTAACTTTAATTAACTAATAGAGACCTTTAGATTCGAGGTCGGGAACGACTACGACTACGAGATTCAGTTTACGGTCAAGTCGCCCAAAATTCATCTCGCCCGAAGTTATGTCGCCCGAAATGTTAAGTCAAGTCGCCCTAAATGCCAAACTGGCGGAAACAAATTATCATATATTAGAAGTTTTATCATTTTGCGATCGGGAGAGGACTTAGTCTCCTTTCAATAATGATGACAGTGCTAACCTTTTTTGGTGGAAAAAAAAAGTACAATGAAGCTTTCGAGGGTGTCTATATTTTTGGGAATACGCGAAAAACTTTAAGTCAGGCATTTCGGGCGACATCTGTAAACATTTGAGCGACATCATTCTGATTTCAGGCGAGATGACTTTTGGGCGATTTGACCGTAAGCCAAATCTCGTTCTCTTAGTAGGTCTCGTCATCGAACCTAAAGGTCTCAAGATGAAGGTGTACCAATTCATTCTTCCGTTTGTCCTTTCCTATCTGACTGTATTTCTCCTTTAGAGGTTTTTTCCTAGGAAAATAAAAAGCAAGAAGAATAAACATGATTCTGTAAGAGTATAAGTCAGTAGGTACCATTTACCAGTCAGCCTATTTAATATGTGCTTTCATCTTTGTCTTTTGAAGGTGAAAAGTCTTTCACGGAAACAGTGAGCAGCGCATTTTCTGTGGTAGCAGATCTTGTCAGACCGGGATCCAAAAGAAAGCTACAGGAAAGTGATGTGTCTTTCACCAGCGAGACAACGGCTGTTATGGAGGAGGAAGATCTTATCACGTTTGACTACCAGCACTATGATGCCGACAGTCCTTCCACGAAAAGTGTTAACGGAAGTGGAATGAATCTTGTCAACCTGCAGTTCAACACCCTTAATGTCATCGGTAAGATCTGAAATGCAATTCATGTTGATTTGAAGAAGTTTTCTCTTTGCCCGCTTTCAGCTACCGAAAGGCTATTTATGTTTACCGGCGGTATGCATATACTTTAACCATCAGCGTTTGAACATAATTATGATCGATGTCAACAATGTTTTCAGCAGATTTGAGGATTTTCAATTTAAGGACAGTAGTCAGCATTTAGAGTCTAATAGGGACTATATTTTAATTTCAGTATACTGCAGTAAGAGTTTTGGAGTTTGTCTTCAGATAAACTGTCTGGTTACATAAAGGCCCAAGCATTTTCAATTTTGGACTCGTTTTTTGAACTGAGACTCATGATTTTTCACAAGATGAGCCCCAGGACTCACCACCTTTTTTGTAACAAAATCACTGAGTAATAACAGTGGACTACAGTCTACTCTTTAAGAAGGACACTTATTGGACCAGCAATATGTGTCCGTGTTATAAATAGTCAAAATGAGTCAACTAAAAGGAGTAGTCTGTTTTACCCATGTGCCCGTCTTATAGAGGTACCTCTTAAGATCGAGAGCTGAGACTGTATTTCTAACAAGGTGTTCAGGGAGGTACAGCCAATTAACAATTGTCTTTATTTCCCCACAGCAAATCAGGAAACGCTTGCAGCTTTGGTTCAGTTTTTTAGTACTTCATTTTCATCTGGTGAAAACGTTTCGAGCATGACAGACTTACCGACAGTGCCTGAACAGCCTGACATAGAATCCCATCAAACCCAAGCTCTAGAGGTAAGTGTAGTGAAAAAGACAGTCAAGGAACAATGTTAGTTAAGTGAATGTACACAAAACGTGCGTTGAGATAAAGGCCAATTTTGTTAGATTATTTGTGCGTTAAGGGGTTCATTCAAGGCAACTCTTACCTTTGACTTGGAAGTTATTTCACTTCTTTTTAGCCCAGCGCATAATGTATTAGACTTCCCACTAGTCAATGGTAAGAGGGCGCGAGGGACCCTCGCAGAGCCTGCGGAAGCAAGGGACGTAAATCTAACTGCATGTATACTGCATCATAAGATCTTTTTCAATTTCCCTACGTTAATTTCACTGGCTGTTAGTATTGTCATCACGTGTCGTGTGTAAGGATACTGAAGCCCCCCCTCCCCCTCCCCCAAATAATCAGTCCGTTTTAAGTAGAAGGCAGATATTATGTGCGAGCAACCGAAAGGAGTTTCATACCAAGGAACATGCATAAGTTAGTCACGGATGATTTTTCCTTTGGCGGGACACAAAAAAATTTGTTTCCAAGTTCATACCTCTCGTAGCCCCCAAACATCATTTCTTACTTGCATATGTCTTTGCGTTTTTTAGGAGCAGGTATCTGAAGTAACCGAAGTCACGGCATCATTTAAATCTATCAACGTTCTGGTAATAAGAAGCGTCAGTCTTCATGGGATGAAATCTGTGCGTAAAGTCGCGGAAGTGGATGTTGGCGAGGTTCAGCTAAATGCTTCTTTAGGAGAATGTCAGCGTCTTGATGGCTCCTTAGGAGGTTTTAGAATAATAGACCTTACTCCAGAGGGCTCATTGTATCGCACTGTGTGTACGTGCGGAAGTTTATTCGCAGGGGATACCACCACAAGGGAATCCTCGTTTTTATGGTCGTTACCAGAAGACATGCAAGATGGCCCAAATGACCAGCGAGCTTTTACATTTACCCTCGTTATACCTCCAAAGGGTGGACAAAGCCCCAGACTTGTTGTCGATGTTCCGATGGAGAGTGACGTGGATGTTTCTGAAATCGCTAGAAATATTCAAATAAATGTACGGGTTGCTTCTGCCCAATACACCCACACCCATAGATTTCTTTCCGAGCTTTTATTGTCGGCTGGTGATTATGCTGTATACGCGGCCCAGTTTGGCGAAACCTTACGTCAAGCTGCTAGCAATGTGGCCATGGGCCTTGTAAGTAAAAAGAGAGCACTGGCGGAAGGTCTTGACTACTTGTCGTCATCCTTTGTCACCACAGGTGGACAAGAGGAGAGGAGTCTTGGAAGTCGACAGGAGAGCTTATCGTTTGAAAATGATAGCGATGCAATTCTTGACGGTTGCGACTTTGTTGACAATATTCCTTTAAGTCTAAAGCGACGAGTTTACAGCTGTATCACGGTTGAGTCGCCAATTGTGCAAGTGCCCAAGTCTTCTTCTAGCACAGAAATGCTTGTGGCTCATTTAGGTAAAATTACGGTTCGAAACACGCACTTGATGGAAGTCGTCGAGGAAGAAAGTGACACGGGACATTTGACTGCGGTGGAGCATGACATTGATCGCTTGTTCGTGGAAATTAAAGAGATGAGTCTTTACTGTTTGACACCAGGCCTTAAAGATTCATCAAGAACTTCATCGTTCTCTTCCCCAGAATCATTTACGAGCAGAAACGTCCATAATTCACCAAAATCCCACAGTACGCATATTCTTCACAAAACAGCTTTTGAGCTCATGATAGATCGTCGTTCTGAAGAAATTGGTGCACTGGGTGCGCCACCGAACTCACAAAAACCAACCATTCACATTTCCGGAAAGGTTGCCAGTCCTCTGCAGCTGGAACTCTCCACTCATTCTTATCACCAGTTACTTNCTCTGCAGCTGGAACTCTCCACTCATTCTTATCACCAGTTACTTGACACTATTGATAACATTGGTGGTGGCAAGGAAACAGTGCCTGTCCCTCCCCCTGCTGGGGTACATTCGTCATCTCTGGCTAGTCCTACTTCTCAGTCTCCAAGCACACTTTCTCCAAGGTGACATGACATTTAAAGAGGCTACCTCACTGCTTTTTTGTCTAGTATATATTTCTGTATAGTTAACATCTACAACGTAGGTGTTTCCCTCTGTTACAAACAGCTTTGTTGAAGATGCTCAAGTCACCATTTGCACAACTCCCATAGTACACTCTGTGTGCCCTCCTCAAGTTTGGGCTTAACAATTTTTCCAGTTTCTCCTGGGTATTGAGAAATTAAAGGGGCTGTGTCACGGCAGTCCAGTTCATTTTGTCCAATTTTGCCAATTTTGTCAGCCCCTTTAAAGACGATGCTTATGCAATTTTTTGGGAGGCAAACAAGGTGCATTAGAAAGGGTAAGCGTCACGTTTGCGTCAAACGACAAACGCGAATTTGTATCACGTGACCAAGTTTCTGCTGTACTTGTCGTTCACTGTTCATTATTTCTAAACACAAATTAGTAGTTTCATGCTATTTTTATCCATAAGAATTGTTTTTAGCTGTTTTTCATTTCTTATTTAGAGAAATTCTCAATGTGAATCTGACGTGTGCCGTTTGCCGTATACGTGAAGCTTACACTCTCTATTATGTGAGATGTGCCAATAGCAAATTTCAAAATATTTTTACACGGTGCATATGAAATGTCTCAATCTATCCTGACACATTAAAGAGGAAACCATGAGACAAAAAAGCTTAAAACTTTAGAAAAATCTTTAAGGGAGGAAAGATGGTGATTGACTTGGATTACAGACCACTTAATTGAAGTGTTTAGCCTAATTTTGCAAGGACATAAAAAGATGGTGGCATGACTTGAAAAGTTCTGTGTCGTCCAGTCGTCGCTTTCACGCTGGTCTAGTTATGACAGATAAGATAGCAGCATTTTGCGTCTCGTTTTTCGTGAGCAGGGTATAAGTAATGTGATAAAATTAATGATTACATGTATGAATATTCAAATAGATTGGACAGCTTGCGAGTTGTTGCAGCCATAGGGTCCTTTCGATAAATCTAAAATCAACGTTATAGTGAGGCTTCGGGATCCAAAGAAAGAAAAACGATAAACTTTTTTATTATTTGGAGTCTTTTTTTATTGTGTGCTTTACTGTGAACTTAAGTTCTAATATATCGTCACATCACGTTTAATTACATCAATATGCCAAAGTTTCCTCGCGTACAGTTTACTAACCTTTGTGTTTCAGTAGAAGTTTGTCCTAATCCCAAAGTTTCTTTTGCTTCCTTACAGCTCATCTGCATCGAATCTGGAAGCCTACATTCCAGAGAAGGTTTTGCCGGAGAAACGGGTAACTTTTGTTCCAAATGTCTCATTTGGAGAAAATGTTGAAAGCACTGACGACCTCAGCAGTGATCATGAACTTGAAACAGAGGGCCCCACGCCAGTAAGAGCACATTTTGAATTGCCACACTTCAGCATCAAGCTTTGTGGAGAACTCAACAAGGTTGAACACGACTTCGTGGACATCATGTTCTATGACTTTATCCTTAGTTATGAGCACACCAAACCCACGGTCACTCTAATTGACGTTTCTCTTGGTGGACTTCTCGTGGAAGATCTACTTCAAGAACACGAAACTGTGTGTACGTGCGGAAGTTTATTCGCAGGGGATACCACCACAAGGGAATCCTCGTTTTTATGGTCGTTACCAGAAGACATGCAAGATGGCCCAAATGACCAGCGAGCTTTTACATTTACCCTCGTTATACCTCCAAAGGGTGGACAAAGCCCCAGACTTGTTGTCGATGTTCCGATGGAGAGTGACGTGGATGTTTCTGAAATCGCTAGAAATATTCAAATAAATGTACGGGTTGCTTCTGCCCAATACACCCACACCCATAGATTTCTTTCCGAGCTTTTATTGTCGGCTGGTGATTATGCTGTATACGCGGCCCAGTTTGGCGAAACCTTACGTCAAGCTGCTAGCAATGTGGCCATGGGCCTTGTAAGTAAAAAGAGAGCACTGGCGGAAGGTCTTGACTACTTGTCGTCATCCTTTGTCACCACAGGTGGACAAGAGGAGAGGAGTCTTGGAAGTCGACAGGAGAGCTTATCGTTTGAAAATGATAGCGATGCAATTCTTGACGGTTGCGACTTTGTTGACAATATTCCTTTAAGTCTAAAGCGACGAGTTTACAGCTGTATCACGGTTGAGTCGCCAATTGTGCAAGTGCCCAAGTCTTCTTCTAGCACAGAAATGCTTGTGGCTCATTTAGGTAAAATTACGGTTCGAAACACGCACTTGATGGAAGTCGTCGAGGAAGAAAGTGACACGGGACATTTGACTGCGGTGGAGCATGACATTGATCGCTTGTTCGTGGAAATTAAAGAGATGAGTCTTTACTGTTTGACACCAGGCCTTAAAGATTCATCAAGAACTTCATCGTTCTCTTCCCCAGAATCATTTACGAGCAGAAACGTCCATAATTCACCAAAATCCCACAGTACGCATATTCTTCACAAAACAGCTTTTGAGCTCATGATAGATCGTCGTTCTGAAGAAATTGGTGCACTGGGTGCGCCACCGAACTCACAAAAACCAACCATTCACATTTCCGGAAAGGTTGCCAGTCCTCTGCAGCTGGAACTCTCCACTCATTCTTATCACCAGTTACTTGACACTATTGATAACATTGGTGGTGGCAAGGAAACAGTGCCTGTCCCTCCCCCTGCTGGGGTACATTCGTCATCTCTGGCTAGTCCT